AGTCGTATCGGGGGTGCATTTTGGGGCCTCAGATACCCAGCGACTAAGACAATTTATAAAGGTGTAGTTCTGGGTATTCTGAGGTACGCGTCCCCAGGTTGGTTTCTGCATCTCTCGCACCACCAGAAGAGGAGGTTGGCTTCGATTCAGCGGACGGCTCTGCTGCGCGTCACCAGAGCTTTCAAGACAGTGTCTCATGAGGCAGTACAGGTCCTGGCAGGAGGTGTTCCTCTCGACCTCCTGTTGCAGGAAGACATGTTAAAGCATCAGCTTTCAAGAGAAGGCTCGGCAGGTCTACCAGAAAATCTCCGTGAGAAGATTAACCAACAGCCAGGTAGATGGAAAAAGATAATACAAGAGTACACCCTTGACGAATGGAACCAGCGATGGGTAACAACTCCGAAAGGAAGTACTCTTAGAAAATATTTTCCCACCATCGGTTCCCGGTTAGCAGCAAAATGGGTGGAACCTGGTTATTGGGTCTCCCAACTACTCACTGGACACGGGGGCTTCCGAGCAAAGCTCTTCCAATTTGGAAAGAATATCGACCCCTTGTGCCCCAGTTGCGGAGTCCCAGAGACTGCCGAGCACATTGTCGTAGCATGTACTGCCTATGAGGCACAGAGAGCAAAACTGCTCAGGGAAACCGGTCTCTACATTTTGACTGAAAGGGAGCTCCCTCAACTCATGAGTGAGGAAAACTATCCTCATTTTATAGATTTCATTGCAAAATGGAAATCCATTATAGGCCCAACTCATTTCTACTTGGGAAGAAGAGGAGCTGCACCGCCTGGAAGGCCGCCGGACGGAGTAGCAGAAGAAATCCGTGACCAAACTTAGAAGAAATGTAGTCGAAATATGGACCCAGTCTATAAATATTGTTTTTCTAGCAGCAGTGCGTTGTTACGCGGAAACGTTTAACATCTCACTGCTGCTAAAACCCGTATTGCCTATCAGGCACGGCAGGGATGTAAATAAATAAATAAAGGTTTGGTGCTCGGATCAAACATCTGATGATTATTTTATTGATTGATCACTTTTACTTTTTTATGGCAGGACATGTGGCGTGTCATCAAATCACGTCAGCGTAGTTTGAATTTATCTATAGTTGTTCAAATTCTAATTTTTATTAAGAAGTAAATATGAGTTTTAGTTTTCAATCACTTAGTCGTGATTTAAGAAAATGTAACTGATGATATCTTTGCACGGGTGCCAGGGCCAAACAAAATGGACCTCATCACAAGCGAATGTTTGAGTATAAATTATGAAATTTTATAACACTTTAACTACTATAAACCGTGCCTGCCATTCCAAAACCGCTGCTTTCGAAAATGGCGACCGTACGAAGAGATCCAAATTAAACGAAAATAACCACAATCGCAGGTTAGATGAATCTTGAGACTAAAACGTCTCGTTTTAGAAGCAGTCTTTGGTGTGATAAATTTACCAATCTTAGTAACTTAGAAATTATAAGTACAATAAATGAGTGTAATAAAAGGAACAAATAACGTTGCCTTTTTTTTAGACCGCGGCAATCTACTGACAAGCTCTAATTAAAAAATTACTATTTCAGACGTCAAAATTCACCTATTATAGGAAGTTTGAAATTGTGCTATATGAAAATATTAGGTTAAAGATAAGGAAATAACGTTGTCTGCCTATGTTCGGCCGCGGAAATCCACTGGCAGACTCAAAATCAAAAATTGCTATTTTCGATGTAAAAAATCACCACATTCAGGAAGCTTGAAATTTTAAAATAAGAAAGTATTTGGTTTATAATAAAGGAATAAATTCTGTCCATGTTAGGCCCGGACATGCACTGGCAGGCCTAAATTGAAAAATTGCAATTTTAGGAGTAAAAATTCACCAATTTCGGATTAAATTTTCGCTATATGATACTTCTATATTTCTTGTTAATCAAAAATGCAATCTGCCATTGAAGAGCCGCTGCTTGGTACTGGCAGATTAATATGACCTGACGATGCCTTATTCTAGTAGATCTGATAGAAATCCTTAATGGCGGCCTTCCTAAACGGTCACTAAAAAAGTTAAAATATATTATTTGAAAACGTTTATTTAGTTTCTTACCGTTAACTAGATTTTTACCTGAAACAAAAAACTTGGTCTGCCTCTTATGTTTTATACTACCCATATTTTATTAAGTTTATTTCTTTTAATATAATTTGATTTTCCTCTCTTATACTCCTTGAACACATTAGGTAGGTTACAAAAAAATGAAATACCTATAAAAAAATCTGGTGCGCGCAACACACAACTTTCACTTACCGCTCTGCTTTGAATACAAATTATTTTCTGGCAATGATGGGCTACTATAAAATGTCTAAAGTGCAGTTTAAACGAAGCTAAACCATAAAGCTTATTGATGACAAAAAATTAAGACTATTAAAATTACAAAAAGTCTATTTATTATATCGACGGTAGGCAATAATAATTTAGTTATTCCATCTTCTTTTATAAACCACATAACTTCAGCCTCTCAGCCTTTCAGTTGACAGACTAACTAACTCCAATTTCGAAATTTTGAGTAATGTCATTTTAATGATATTTCTAGTTGGAAAAGTTATATCTGTACAGACAGTGAGTGAGTTGATTTCACGGTATGAGATAGCAGCGTTAGAACAAAAACTGTGAATAAAGATATAAATTTTACCACTAGAAACATCACTAAAATTAATAATAACGAATGTTGAAATTGGAGTTAGTCATGCTGTCAATCGAAAGGCTCATATATGCCAAGAGACATTTGAAAGTACATCTGAATACTTAACCTATAAATCATTATGGATTGTAGAACTATTAATTATTCTTCATTGTAAATTTTACTAAAATGAAATTACGAGAGTTTCATTGCCTAACATGGATAGGTTAAATATAATATCATATGTAGAATTTTTAAACTACAGTAAACGTATTTAAGGTTAGAAACATATCCATGTAAGATTTTTACATTTCACTTCTTCTTTCACACAAGTACAATGAAATAGTACTTTAAACAATGGCATTGGCTGAATTCGGTAGATTTGAAGTACTTTTTTTAAACTTAGAAATTTAAAAGTTTACATTTAGAAAGAAATTTGATTTAATTTCCTTGAAAACATATGATTTACGTTAAATAATGTACTTTTTCTAATTCGCCACTCTCCGCTACCTTCTACAACTTTATTTATTTGATATTATTTTTTCTGAAATTCTCCGCTTTTCAACGATGTATTATACGTATTCACTCTGACCATTATTTCCAGAGATTCATTTTCTACCTGGATAACCATTTTTCTTTTCTTTTTTTTCCAGTTTCCCGTTATCGTATTCTTTCAAACTTCATATTTAACCATTTTTTATAGTTACTGTCAATAAAAGAGAGTTAATTTTTTTATATAAAGCATACTATAGGTACTTTAGAGGAAGGCGTGTATGAACATTAGGCATTTAAGCCCTGTAAAGTGACATCAATGGGTATAAGACCTAAATGATATTAAAGTCTACTTAATCACACAAACACGTGGAGGTTTAACCAAGATCTTCTGCTTTTATTCCAAATAACTTACTGATTTTATTAGTCTTTATCTTTTTTTTAATCTTTACCTAAAAAAAAACAAAAATAAATCATCGAAATATCAAGTGAAGATAGCCATGGTCCGAAAATCGACCTCATCGCAGATGAAAGTTTGATAGTAAATTACCAAAGTCTATGTTATTCTGAGTAAAAAGAACCTTGTCTGCCGTTCCAGACCCGCTGCTTTCAAAAATGGTGGCTGATTTTAAGAATATTAGCACAGCCAGTAACTTGACGATCGAAACGGGAAATCCATTGAAAAAAATGTGAGAAAAGTTTTTATTTTTTAAACTTGTATATATGGGTTTTGATTAACGATGTGTCGAAAGATACCGAATTTCATAAAGGAATAAGGAATCCCGATTCGAACTATATAATTGGCCTACAATAAAAATTTCAGTACTCAGTGGACGCAAAATTTGATGCCCTACAACAAGTATGTATATGTTGTTTGAGTGGATACTTTTAGCTGTAATGATTATTGCTCTTGAGTGTGGCAGATTGTGCTAATATACAATAAATAAATAATAAAAATAATCATTTTTTTATTATTATTTTATTGAAATTTACAACTTTAAGCATATATATAACCAGTAAATTTGTTACAGGAATATATTACATGAAGGTACTTGTGAAGAAGCTACCCATTGGTAACACTTCAAAGATAAATTAATTTAGGCGGTCTCTTGGCCATCTTCTTTTCAGACGCCTCCGAGGGTTGTCAGGAATTGGGTGAAAGGTTACAAACTAGAGGATTGGGGCGACCAAAGAGTTTGAAATGAAAAGAGGTATATCTAGTTCGGGCCAAGTCTTCCACAAGAGGAATGTTGATGTCTTTATGGATAATTTTATTTGTTACTTAATAAGGAGCATTTAGGATTTTACGAAGGATTTTAGATTGTAAGGATTGGATACGGGAAGAATTTGATTTTTTTGTAGAGCCCCAAAGCTCAATACCTTATGTCCAAATCGGCCTTATGATGGTAGTGTAAATGAGTTTTTTTTTGTAGAATATTGGAAGTAATAATAATAATAAATACATAAATACATTTTCACTTACTTTACCAATTTGATTATTCTATTAACATGTATATTTGTTAATCAAGTGCTTAACAAACCTAAATGAATGACGGTTCGTCATTCAAAGCAACATATTTCAAATGATTCTATGATTGAGCGGGCGATTTACTTTTTTTTTTGCTTTATTTCTTCGCTATGAGAATAATAAACTTGTATTTACAATTCTTTCGATAGGAGAGGTATAAGTTGTCTATTTTCGAACAAGGGAGTTAAAACTCCCATGTTTTTTAAGGGGCGAGTATTGAATAAAAGAAGGAAGAGGAGTTATACAATAGAGGAGCTAATGAGGCGGGAGAGGGGGAAAGAGGGAGCGGGGTAGGGGAAGGAAGCGCGCGCAGGAGTCAGCGGCCTCAGTCACTGCCGAACCTTCTTCGCGTTCACACACTCAGTTGGACCCGTCGTGTCTTGTGCGCCGTGTCTCTCCCGCCCAGTGTACAGGTATAGATCAGTGTTATCCGCTTAAGTATGGCGAGCAGGGAAGACGCTAGCTGACCTGTGCTGTGCGATGCGATGGCTGTAGCCGGGCCGACGACCAGGACGGCTAGAAGCAGCATGTCACTCATGCAAGGTTCTGCACAAGCATCCTTCTACCACCATCACCAGCCCCCGCCTTCGTCACAAGACCTACAGCCTGATAGGCCCATTGGATACGGAGCCTTCGGAGTTGTTTGGTGAGTAAAAAGTTCATTAATAACCTTCAATACGTTTAAAAGGGAGCTAGCTAACCGTAACAGTTTGTACTAACCTGCCTAAATACTGTTTACAAATATTATCAAACCCAAGAAAAATAAATAACCTTATCAGTGAGACAAACACGTAACCATACGGGAGGGTTATTCTGCCTATATGTAAACAAATTATTTGCTTTTCCGCCCATTTCCAAAACAACATTCTCAGTTGTATTTATTTTCCGGCAGAATAAATCCAAATTTCGTCAACATTTTACTCAAAACGCCAATGTGCTATTTAAACAAAAAAATATTAAATTATATGCTCTTATAAAGGTTGGCAGTTGCAGTATCCATGCATGGATTATTTGTTTTTCAAATTTTTCCATGTAAACATCTCGGATTTCGTAGTGTAAGAACTAACATATGTTTATTATTAGGACTAAGTTCTCATATTTTCCTGCTTGTCTTGTAATATTGGTTCTATGTGAAAACATCTGGAATTTAAATCATGATGAATGAATATGATCATTGAAACTGCCTGAATTGACTATTTGTGTAACTTATACTAATATTTGTGATCGTATTGTATCCAATCATCCTTGAGCATGAGAAGTGCATACGACTGTACAAGGTCTCCCTCTCGCATTGTACCGTTTCTGAATGCATTTTGACAAAACCTAACTGATTAGGTTAGGATAAGTATATATGTATTCTGCGAAATTTGATTAAATTTATGAATATTCATTTGTTTAATGTTATGGTGTGTTGGTCATTGTCGATGCACTGTGTTGTGATTATCAATTTTGTGACAACAGTTGTTTTAACTATGTGTATGTCATGGTGAGCCTTCATGTTTAGTCTTATTGGCATGCTAGGATGTAATTATAGATACAATTTTTCAAAAGAACTTTCTTTATGCTATTTATTATTCATTATTTCCATATTATTTTGTTATGAAAATAAAGTTGTATCCTAATTGTAGGGCAAAATCAGCTTTTAATTAAAAGTATTAACCTTTTATCTGATTACATTAGAGCTTTTATCTTTGAAGAATTCCTGGGACCCACTTTGGCTTATTTAACCATTTGACCTGTTACATTTTTTTTAATTAAGCCCGACATTCATGGAAAAGCAAGAGAATAAATTTTATATTCATTTTTGATTTTTTTGTTCTGCTGTTTGATATATGTAATTGTTATATTGTTTAGTTGTGTCCTTGGATTTTCCTCAAAATCTAATTTCAGTGATATAAATTAATATTATTTAAGGTATTTTATTTCAAATGAATATGGTTATCTTTTTCGACTACTTTCCCCATATATTTTTATTCAATTTTATTTATTTATTTTTATTATTATTTTTTTGTTTTTACATAATTAAGGCAGGAGATAATGAATTCTAAAACTGTATAGCAATGAACTTGAGTGAGGTTGTTGATACTGTGTCCTCGGCCAGTAAACAGCTTTTCAAACATTCCTCTTGAAAGATGTTGGCGTATTATTTTAGTTCCATTCTGGGGTTCAATGAAATCATTATCTATTCATAGGTTAATGTCCTCTGCTAATTTTTAATAATATATTTGCGATCATTGAATACTATGTGCCTAATTTAATTTTTTAGTGGTATTAGTGTGTAATATATACAAGGAATAATAAAACCTTAAGGAAAATAAATAATTTTCATCATATTGAGATAACGTTTTTTAAATCCTAAGTACCCACTAGTGTACCTAGAACTTTTTGAGTCCCTGTGAAATTTATTTTATATTAGAGGCCACAAAAAAAGAAGAAAAAAAAAATCCTTGGTGTGGGATCTCCTTAGTAAGTGGGATTTATTTTTTAGAACACTGTAAAATAAAGTATTAAATGACTTTAACTTTAAATTTAAAAAAGTATTTTTTTTTTTGTTTATCTGTATCTGTTTTATGTCTTTTTATGTATTGTTTCTAATGATAAGTTAAATAATTAACAAAGATCTAAAAAAAAGTATGTTTGAAAAATTTCCCAATTTCCATCTGAAAAGTGGGAAATTTAAGATTTATTTATTTTTTTATGGGAATCGCGCTGTTTGTTGAATAGAAAGCGATAACTTAAAAAATATTTTATTGAAGTAATTAAACATTGCTCCTTAATAAACTGAATAAAATTTACTTTAAACTGAAGTAGAATTTTATATATACAATATCTGGCACTCGAAATGAAATCAAGCTTAACTAATCAACCGATAAATAATGTTCCATGGTTAGGCTATTTAATAAATTGTTATTCTTTACATTGAGTGTATTAAAAAATATATATATATAATTACAAAAGTAAAAAAAAAAATCCCTGGTTTGGATAAAACCTCCTTCTCCCTTCAGGATGCTACTGTAATTGACTCAGTAGCTCCAGTAAATGCTACTATTGGATATTATTCTTAATGGTTTACAATAAATTGTTTTTTATTAAATTTAGAACAAAATAAACCAAATCAAAACTTCTTGTTCATGGTTTTAATCAAGTTTGACGAGAATGTAAAAAATCTGGTGCGCGCATCACACGATTTTCACTTACCACCCTCTCCTTAGCAGAAATAAGTATTTTCAGAAAAAGGGGAAGTGAAAGTAAAAGTTATAGGCGCTGTATTTATTTACATTTCATTGTGGGTATTTTTATTTCTTTAAATACCCTTATATAGACAAATTTTACTTTATATATCGCTGTATTCTATACAATTAAATATTAAATAATACAAACGATAGCATTGATGAAAATCGCATATGTATATGTACATAATTTTGTCAGAGTCCGTATTATATTAAGCTCATATAACGTATGTACTCTTTCGGGTGAGCTCGGACGCGCTCATATTCCGATGGTTCTTCCATTACAACTATTATCCGTTACGATTTCTTATATCTCCTTTAGTTAATTATCAAATTCTTTCATATTTTATATTAACTATTTTTCTATCAAAGATTACTGTGAAATGGTTAATTATTTCAAATAAAACAAATTAAAGTTACTTTAGAGAAAACTAATATTGAAAATTAGCCATTTAGGCACTGTTAGAGAACACCAATCAGAATAAAACCTACATTATATTAAAAAATGCTTAATAATACACTGATATACTGAGTTTAATCAAAATCGTTAAAGCCGTTTTTGAGAAAATCGTAAAAATGTGTTAAATCGACTATATAAAGTACCACTGCCGGTTTGCCGCTTTTGACGAAAATGTTGATGTAACATCCAAGGATTATAAAAACCTCAAATACTCAATTTCAGTTTCGTACCCCTTTTCGTTTTTGAGGTAGACTGTTCACATACATACATACTCACACACACTCAGAAGCCATTTTGCGGGACTTGGTTATTTGGATTCAGGAAGTCTCAAAACGTGTATTTCCGTTGAAAACTTAGATTCAAAAATTTTCACGATCGCAATACTTACTCTTATATTTATATATAGGTAAGTGAAAGTACAAATAGAGTTTCATAATATTGACCGGGAAAAAAAATTGTTTAATAATACTTTTAAATCGTTATTTCATATTTCCTAGTTATTATTAAATTAAAGCAGATCGGCTAGATTTATATAGATTTTAATAAAATGTTGCATGACTATATTTTTGATATTATATATATTTCAGAGTGTTGTTTTATCAGTCTCTTATTTTACCTTTTCTTATTATTTTCCTCGAAAATAATATTTTTTTTTCACTATATTGAAAATCAATAGATCATAATTTAAGGCAGCGGAATGTGGATCGGTTTCACGACTCCTTGAATTTAGGTTGTGATTGAAGCCTCAGCGAAACAGTTTTTAAAATAACTTAACATCCTTCAATTTATCGTATTTATTTAAAACAATATATATTAAATCTATACATGGTCTTTACTTGTTATGTATGTTATTACCTTGCCAGATTATTATCTAGTTTTAATATAAAGATGTAAAATTGAGTTGAGATAAGATCTGGAAATTTTTTATTTTTAAATTCAAGAGTAGGATTCTGCAAACCGCATAAATAAACTGGCGGTGTTTAAAAATGTTTATTGGCGAAGGTTAAAAATGCATTTATCACCTTAATCCATACAAGGGTAAGCGTATTTTGTTACCTTCATCAACTCGGTTGTGAGCCAACAATTGAATTTATGTGACTGAAATACTGGTGGATTGAGGTGTGCTTGCTGAATCCTTCCTCATCTTCCAAAAAAGAAGGAAAATATAATCGTTTTCCATTGGCCCATATATGTTTCCATGAGTGACCACTGACAAATACTTCAACGATCACAGTGCTCTCTTTTTAATTATAACGCATGTACTTCACCTAGAAATGTAAACAGGTGTAAAAAAAAATACAAATATTTTATTGTTCCTTTTTCTAAAATACTACAAAAAAATAAAAAAGTTCCTGACTTAAAATTAAATCCTTGAACCTCTACAGTAAAATAAGAAGTTGAAAATACACCACTGAATAAGTTAATCCAGAAATTAAAAATCGTGTCCCATTGCTTGAATATTTACTTTTTTTTTTCCTTATCCCCAGTTTCTTAAAGGTTTGTTTCTTACATATGGTTAAAATATTCCTTTTACTGTATCTTAGATACATTTTAAGATCTTCCTAAGCCTTTCTTAGTTTTCTTTATATTTATTTCTGGACTTCAATCTGGGTGATGGGGTTCACCTCTGTCTTGATAATTTTCTTAGGACTATCTTATAATCTAACTTACAACTATATTTTGCCATCACCGAGGAGATGGCGGAAATGTTATGGTATTGAATTCTGGATTTGTTAAATATTTTAACGAATCGTAGAATTTTATTATTCTTTTGTTTAAGAATTCAGATACGGTGCGTAAATTTAAGAAGGCGTGAAGTTTATCAGATTAGAATACCATTTTGGAATCGCTGTGGTGTCTTGCTTGTATTTTCGGATATGTGGGACAATAGAGGAGCACCATAGAGAAGGGAATGTCGAAGAATGCTTTTGTAGATAATTAATTTTAATCTGAGACTGAGGTTTGAGGTTGTGAGAAGGTGACTAAATTTGTTGAATTTTTGTCTAACTTTTGATAGTTTTGAAGTGCAATGGGGGGTAAATTTTAGATGTCTGTCAAATTTCATTCCTAGATAGACCGAATTATTTGATATTTTGTTGTATGAATCTCCAACTCGGAATTTTTTAGGCAATTTTTTCTTATTTTTTTGGAGCGAAAATATTATACAATCAGTTTTTGTAGAATTTACTTGAATATTTACTGTAAATTTAATTGTACGGATATATTTTTATCAGACGAAAAATCAAAGTTGATAAACAGTTGATTTAGTAATGAATAAATTATTAGTTGGTAATCGAGTTTCAACATTTTACATGTTTTATGATGAAATTCATGGTCAATAAATTTATGTGAAAATCCAATCAAGCAGTCAACACTGCTCCGCCGTTATTGTTTTCAGTTTCTGAGTAATTAGGTTGGTAGTGGTGGGTAATAAAGCGGGCTGTGTGTTTTGTCTCAGTTTTCAGGCCTTGACCTGTTTCTATATTCGCGCAGAATTTCAACTATTTCTTGTCTTTTATCTATTTCATAGTTTTTCTTACCACCTTTATTCGTATGTTTTGGTTAGTTTTTACAAGTTTTAGTCAAGTATACCACCTTAATTATAACTGTGTATTAGTTATCGTGATTTTTTAAAGAATGGCTGCGAGAATTATAATAAATTCATCATTATTTTAGGTAAGTTATTATTTGTATATAAAAATTATGGGAACATATTGATTTTTTGTTCTAACTATTTATTTTTTTTAGTTGGTAAAGTTTTAATTAACAATTATAGCAAATTGACGATTTTATCAACATTATTAGTATTCTTTCTTATTTTACTTATAACATTTGATATTTGCAATTTATTTCTTAATACAATATAATCATATTCTTTATGTGTACGTGCATTTAATTATATTTTTAATAATTTGATAAGGTGCAATTATTTAGGAATTTCGAATATTTAATGGTTGACCGTTGCATTATAAAGGAAGGAGGTGGTCCGGGGTTGCGGTCATAAAAAGGCTAAATAGTGGTAAAACTATTTTATTGAAAGCCAACGTTTCGACCCGACTTTGCAGGTCTTCATCAGGGAGGTGTGTTCCTCTAGGAGTTTCACTTAGAACTGAGGTGTGTTCTAAGTGAAACTCCTAGAGGAACACACCTCCCTGATGAAGACCTGCAAAGTCGGGTCGAAACGTTGGCTTTCAATAAAATAGTTTTACCACTATTTAGCCTTTTTATGACCGCAACCCCGGACCACCTCCTTCCTTTATTTAGGAATTTCCTATGCTAATTCCATTTAAGTTATTCTGTATTGTTACTTGTTCAGCTGCCATATATATTTTTTTTCAATATTTCCCTTTGTTATATGAAAATGGAAAAATATTTAAATAGGATACCTTCGTATCATTATTGTTTTATTAAATCTTTCTTGTTTTGATAATTTTATTTAATATTTTTGTTTTTAAGTTTCGTTTTTATGTTAAGTAAGTACAATCTGTATTTAATCTTGATTGAATTATTTTTCTGAGATTTATAGAGTGGGACTTTGTCTATGAACAGTCATTAAAAACATTACCATTATTTTATTTATTTCGTTTGAAACAACCTATGTATATCTACCATGTAATTATTATTTAAATTATTATATGTATTGTTAGAATCTTCATTAAGTTAGTTTATGGCCAGATAGGTATATATATATATATATATATATTTTTTTTTTGTATTTGTTCATTGTTATTCTTAGGTGACTTAGTTCGGAAATAAAAGTTTATTTTTCTATCTATTTATATACATCTCTCGTGTTAATCATCTGTTCCAACATCCTCTTGCGTCAACTATTTACAATGAAATTTCCTTGTTCTAAATGTTTGCTTTATCGGGGTCAGCTCCCAGGACACTCGTAACTTGCAACAATAAAACAGGTGTTGTAAGACTTGCTAATCAGAGCATACTAGCTCTCACTGAGGCGGTCAGGCTAAGATTTCTGATTAAAATACAAAATACAATTACATACTTTATTTGTATAATATGTATATAAGTTGCCTCATATCAAATACGGATATTTCTGTAATTTTCAGAAAGTGGAGAACAATTCATTTTTTTTATAGGCTCCAAACTGTTTCTGATGATTGTTGGATTATAAAATTTAATGTTTTAAGTTGAATAAAAAAAACGAACATTATAATTGGTTTAAATTGAAACAGTGTTACAAAAGTTGCCTTTTCATCAACTTTTTAAAAATTACAAATGTTCGTCGTTGATGCGAAACCACTCATATATATATTCTGTTATTTATTATTATAATTCTTTATATATTTATTATTATGAATGCAATGTATTTTTTCATTAATTATTTCCCATACTTCAGAAGCTTATAATTTCTGATTATATTTATTTTCCTTCTCTTAAAACATTTTATATTTCAAATATTTTCAAACAATTGTGTTAGTTATTTAATTTAATTTTTATTATTAGTGTGAATAACTAATATATTGATAGCTTATTAATTATTACTGAGTTGTTGGTAATATTCTATGCTTCCAACCTAGAATGTCTTTCATCATCAAGACGACAGCTCGATCAATTAATATATTTCTATTAATTTTACTGTAAATAAGTATATGTGATTTTTATATTTAAACTTTTATTACTAATTTTGTATTATTATTATTACTACTTATTACCTCCTTCTTTGAGCGCCCAGCCGCTTCATATCGTCCTCCACATCATCCAGCCATCTGATCCTAGAGTTCCCTCTACTTCTTTTGCTATCCGGCTTCTCATGCAGCATCCTCTTTGACATTCTTTGGTCTGGCATTCTTTCCACATGACCTAACCATCTGACTCTGGCTCTTTTTATCAATGCCACAATATCAGGTTCACCATAGAGTTCCCGCAGCTCCTCATTCTTACTTCTTCTCCAAATTCCATTATCAAAGATTCCGCCCCATATTCTTCTCAATATTTCCTCTCCCAGGAGTTGAGCGTGCGTTCTGAGTTTTTTGTTACGATCCTAATCTTCATTAGCGTCATTTTTGTAAGTCTGAGCAGTTTCTTGGGTATGCCTACATGTATTATAGATTGCAAAAGTCTCTTTCTGTCTCTGCTATCGTAATTAGTATACTTTATTTTAGTCTTCAATTGTTTATATCCTTTTTTTTTTAAAGTTTTTGTGATAACATAAATTGCCCAAGAAGTTCATTAGCTCTGCAGACGGTCTAGAATATATATTTATTTTCTTGTTATAAATATGTATTTATCCAATTACATCGGAAATTTTGAAAAGTCCGACACAGGTCAATATTTTTAAATAGTATAGTATATAAGTACGTGAGTTTATATTTATATATGGATACTTGGAAAGAAAGCCAACTCAATTAAAAATTTACGATTTTCTACTTTATTATTAATTATTAACAAGATAATAACGTAATAGTTGAGAACATATTTATTTTGGATTTTTACCGGTCTTCCTCCAAATCTCTTTTGTCCTTATGATTGATAATGGACCAATAAAAATAAATCCATTAAAAAAAAAAAAAAAATATATATATATATATATATATATATAATACATATATTATATATATATATATATATATATATATATATATATATATATATATATATATATAATATATATATATATATATATATATATATATATATATATATATATATATATATATATATATATATATATATATATATATAATTAAAAATGATATAAAAATAACAAATTTATTTAA